ATCTGGTCCGGTTCAAGGATTCAAGTAATCCCATACTGCATGTGCCTTGGGTCTTACCCTGGTGGCTGAGATAGGCTATCCCAACACTTGGTGGCACACTAGTATCAGCCTTGGCAGGATAAATCTCCCCAGACTTATCCAACGGCTGTGAACATTTAAAACTAGCACGAATCTCTATAAAAGTCCAGTTTTAGGGTTTTGCACAGAATTAAACCAATCAACATGAATCAAACATGCACTTTATTTGTTTCCACTAAATAACAAAAGTACATCAAATCGGATTGAAGCTAAGGGCATACAAAACTGTCTAACAGGTATCTCCTGATAATTTTTGTTCTTCTACAGTTCTACTTGATAACATTCCGAAAGAATACTGATTGGCTTTAAACCTTTTTCTTTTCATGTTAGACTGTGAGGTTGCCATATAGAAATGCCACTTCTTTCTATGAGCTTTTCACTTACACGAGTTCCTTTTTCATATTTATGTTCATTCGGATGCATGAGCTCTTTGTCCACCATGTATTTCTTCTTTGTTTTCTACATATAAAAGACAGCTATATTAGTAAATTGTGATTTTCCTCTTTTTTCTGAATTAAACATGAATTGGCTGTTGTCCTTTTCAAGTAGATAAGAAAAGATCCTTGAATTAGTGTGTGAGTTCACAGGGCTTATTTCTTTGAGGTAGACCTAAATGCAGGTGGCTTTGGGCTTATTGACAGGGTAGGTACTATGACATGGTGTTATCAACCAAACTGGCTGGACTTGGGCATGCATCATTCTTGTTTATGACGACAGCCCGAGATAGAGTAAGCTACATCTACCCGAATGTTAATGCAGCAGGAGCAGGGCTTCTGTTATCAGAGACATTTACACCAGACGGATTGAATTTGTCTGAGGGTGGATACAACATGTCAGTTGAAAACAAGTTTATCATTTATCTCCTGAATCATTTTCTTTTCTGTCAGAATTGAATCTGAGGTAGACTGACATGAGTTTGCTAATGTAGGTATCGTCAGATGCTTGACTGGTTAGGGAGACCAGCGCGAAATGTTCCAAGGCAGCCTATTCCTCCACTAAAAGTATCAATCTCAAGGAAGCTGAAGGAAGTTGTGGAGGCTAAGTACAAGAGTGCAGGCGCCGAGAAAGGAAAATATATTGTCATCCATGGTATACAGTCTGATTCACAGGCTTCAATGCAGTCCAGGGGAGATCCTGATAGCTTGCTACCCATCCAAATATGGGCTGAAATAGCAAAAGCCATAAGGTATAATGCTGTATTCACAGAATATTCTGTTAAATGTTGTATGACATTTCTCCCTGAAAATCTTCAAGAGAAATAGGAACCATGATATGGATAGATATGGGGTCTGTTGACATTAGACCTCTGCTGAGCACGGAGTGAAACAAGGTTTATATCTGAGATAGGAAGTAGTAAGAGAAACTGATAAGGCTCCAAGTTCTGAAACACTAGAAGAAGCTATTCTAACTTGATAATCTAATTGCTGGTCTCATTTGAAAAATATACTTAAAGAGAAAAGAGAAGCAGTGTAGATATATAGCACAAGCCAGAGAACCAGAGATGGAGGTTTTTTTGGCACAGATCCTTGTTGTGTAGGTTTGGGGGTGTAATTTTTTGTTATTAATACAATACTTAATCTCTTTTCAAAAAAAAAAAAAATCCAGAGAAAACCACAGAAAGAAAGCAACAGCATAGAGAGAAAAGAAGATTTAATGTAGTTGGATGGTTGCCCATATCCATGGATGGACCCCTGCAAATTTCACTATAATCTCTATTGGCATTACAAATCTAGCTTCCTCCTGTGAGTTTCTGAAGAAGAGTTTCTTCTTATTAATCCTAAGTTCACTCCCAATGAGAATATATGTAGCCACCAGGAGACAGCTCCCACATTACTAGGCTCAACACCCCATGGCTTTGACTTGTTTTTGGGATAGGGTTGTTCTGTGAACTGGTGAACACAACAAATAAAATATTTCCTAAAATTCCAATTATTAAGGCACAATTTCCTCACCGACTAGCATCATTTCTCCTTCCAATAAAATGACTGTAACTTTTCCAAATCAATCAGAACAACAAATCCTTGTTCTGTTTGGATAGGTAACTGGAAAACTATATGATGACATCAAGATCAAGTCAAACTTTGTTGGGAAGAAAAATGACACGATTATAACCTAAATTTTTCTAGAAAGTAAGAACTAAATATCACTCTTTTAACTAGTTTTTTTCTTCTAAAAGTTTCTTGCAGTATTGTGGTTGCATTCAGCTTTTAGTTTCTATTTTGGAAAGAGCAATTTTGTTGAATCTCTCCCATATCACACATGATTTTTGCCTTTGTATTAGGCTCTTCCCCATGAACGACAAAATAACCTTGAAAATCTATAAAATGCCTGCCAATAAGTGCTATGGAGGTAGACTTAGGTGGCATTTAGTAATGTTCCAACATGGCGAATCTGGTATTCTGAAAAAGGAAATTAGTGTCCCAGAATAACACAAACTTTTATTGGAATGTAAAAAAATTGCTGCCTTAGTTTGCTGATCCATCAATGTTAATTTGACCCATCATAGAGGGGTTTCAAATTTGTTTGATTGGTGCTGTTTTGATTTGTCCATGCTTGACTTAATTAGTTCTAAAAATGAATCCCATGGATTTTCCCAGGCTATACCAAATACCTTAGTGCTGTCCAGATTCTGGTTCTAAAACATATATGCTTTATGGTTTTCCACCTCTGCCAGCATATATGGGTGTGTATTACAAATATGGATTATGGACACAGACATTTCTACAAGGAACAGAGGTATGACTCCATTTCCTAGGGTTGGTCTTGGATAAAGGTAGAGGCATCTCATTTAACATCTTATATATTATGTTTTTTACCAAGTTTTTGAAGCTAATTGTCATTTTTCAGTAGTAAATACTAATAGCTTGCCATGTTTAATTAATTTTCTAAAATATACAGGTTTATAGTATGGCTTCTTAAAATATACTAATTTACATATTTTAAGAGTTTTAACCTTATAAGGTGTTAGAGAACAAAAACCTATTCAGGGACCTCACTTGACAACTTAATATTTTAGGTTGAACGTTTCCTTGAGATGGTATCAAGGCCTCTTTGACCAAATGATCTAATATTCGGTCCTTGTCGCCCCCATTATAATTAATTAAATTTCAGCACAAGGTATGGCTAGGCCTGTGCTTGTTCACGCTTCAAGCCTGATAGGCTTTCGCATGAAGGGCATGTTAGAGAATAAAAACCTATTGAGGGACATCACCAAAGAGCTTAAGCTTTTAGGTTGAATGGGAATTCACAGATATCTGGTTGTCATAGGTGGGCAGTCAAGGATATCCTCTCTGTTAGTTAGGACTTAGTAGAGTTATTATTGAAAGATAAGAGAGTCTGGGAGCTGATGTAAGCTGGGACAAGGTAAAAGGAACTTAGTTGATATGATTTTTTGCTGAAATTCTTGCGCATATGAACATTTGAAAGATAAATCATGCTAGCTTAAGGGTTACATGAACACATATGTCATTGTGCATAGGATCATCATGATATACCTTTGTTATGTTTGTGCCTTGAATTCTTTGTGGCGACCCGCTTCATGAATCTGCTCCGAATTAATTTGAGAAAAACCTGAAGGCAAAATTTCATAGTGGTTTGTGAAATCACTATTGGGGGTGCGGGGGCGCAGCCCCCGCGGCAGTATGGACCTGACCCATATTCATCTTATAGGTCCGAACCGAATACGAAGAGTCATGTATTTTTCGGGGGTTTTCTCTCTTGTATACAGAAGGCGGAGTCTTGAGAGATATTGGGTGTATTTTGGGGCTTAGGGTTTTCTGTGAGAGCACAACTCTGTATTTCTTCTCCATTACCTACTACATAGTGGATTTCTGTTCCTCCTTCGCCCGTGGACGTAGGCTATAAGCTGAACCACGTAAATCTGTGTGTTCTCTGTGTTTGCTTTCTCTTTATCTCTATTTTATTTTCATTTGAGTGCCATTTCGAATCTGTTTTCTTGGGTTTCTCTACAACAACCTTTACTATGGTTTCCAACCCAAATTCCATCGTGAGAAAGAAAGCAAATGTCCAGATATTCTGAGATTGGGGAAGCTGCCAAATTTATTTCCATTCTTCATTCCTCTATCCTTTTGTGCCTTAAATGCATCATATTAAGTTGTCTGTTAGTTCCTGCAGGATGTTCCTTAAGGCTCAATTTGGTAGGAGTACAAATACAAATATATACTGTGCAAATACATACAAAATACAAGGTTTTGCACTCTACAAATTTGTATTTGTACTTCTTCCAAACTGAGCCTAAGTTTTATGTTGAGTATGGGCCAATAGAAAATTAATTGCTTTTAGGACAGCTTTCAAATGATGGTTCAATGTTGAAATACATTCCTTTTTCAAACGTTTTCTATTTTTATATTTATGTCAACCACTTATTTGATAGGTTTAGCCAAAACTTAACAAGGGATTTGGCACTGAATAGAGTGGAATGGCAGAACAGGATTTATCAATCTAGCCTACCCCATTATAGTTGGGAACAAGGTTTAGTTGAGTTGGGTTGTATTATTTGATATATCTAATCAAAGCCAATGAGTAAAGTTGTATCTGATTGGTCTTCACTCTTCAATATCTTACACCAGGGATGTGAAGCCTATTTTTGTCATTCCACATGAGAAGGAAAGGGAGGATGTGGAAGAAATTGTTGGAGAAGATGCTAGTATTGTGTTCATCACCACTCCTGGACAGGTATCTCTTCATTCATGCATATTCTAGTTTCAAATATATGAAACATGTCCACACCCCAATTAAAGTGGAAGCTTTTAAAATAAATATAATTTTTGTAACAATTAATGAAGAATTATGTCCAACTATGATATTTACATTACTCTATACTTCTGTCTGCTCCAGATGGCAGCTCTTATTAATGATTCAATTGGAGTAATAGCCACAAACACAGCAGCTATCCAACTTGCTAATGCACGAGATAAACCCAGGTAATGTTCTTCGATATGAGATTCTGGACCTTTAGGAGAAATAAGGGTAACTGACAAAGCAGACAAGCCATACATAGGTAATGTTCTTCAATATGAGATTCTGGATCCTTAGGAGAAATTAGGGTAACTGACAAAGCAGACAACCCATACATATATTAGAAAATTATTAACACTATTAAAAAGTCTAGGGTTAACATCGTGTTCCTTATCATACCATTAAATACCATCAAGAAAAATCAGTTATATGGTTAGTGTAGTGCCACTGCAAGCGCTCTTATAATTCTATATGCGAATCTTAATTTCTATACTACTACTGTTGTCTTTCTGTATTGCATTGTTTTCTGAGAAGGGGAGACTATTTGTTCCTAATGCAGAAGAAAAGAGAATGTGCAATTGTCTCTTATAGTTCTATACTTGAACCTTAATTTTTATGTATTTCTATACTACTACTGTTGCCTTGCAGTGTTGCATTATTTTCTTCTGAGGAGAAGGGAAAGCTATTTGTTCCCAATGCAGAAGAAAAGAAATGTGTGGTTGTCTCATCCAAGACAGGGAAGTTGATAGACATTGACGTTGAAGCTGTAAAAAAGGCAACCCAGATCTTTGAAGCACCCTTGGTTCTGGCATAGAAGATGCTTCACTTTGTTGTCCATTTTCCTTCAGGTGTACATTTGGAAATTTGTTACTCTTGTCTTAAGAGTTAAGATCAAAGGTGTATAAAAGGAGAACCTGTTCATCCATTTCTCTGGATAGCTCTAGCATATATTTTTACCAAGTGCTCAGTTCAAAACTAGTATATGATTCCATTAAAATACCCAGTATCAGTGCTAAGAACATTGTGAGGGACCATAAGGCAAATGTCTGAAATATGCTATAGAAATTAAAGGTCAGGTTTTGATACATATTATGGGCTATCAACAATACATGGTTTAAACGGATGAAGTTGTTACAGAAAGCTGATGTAGTCAAACCAGTCCTAAAAGGGCAGAGCTAAGGGTAACTAAAAGGGAAAATAGGGTGTTCATGGGGGTTAAATATAGCATTTAAGGAACAGCCATTGGAAAAAACAATGAACTGTCACCACAGTCCATATAATTGCCAAAACATAGGCTTAATGGGTTTGGTTGAATGGACCTTGTGGAAGAAAAATTCTCTACTCAATGTGAAAGCAAGTTGGGAATTCATGTAGGTTTAAATTAGCTGAATTCTATTTAATAGTACATGGAAGGATTAGAGAAGATTAGAAGGAGAAGAACTGACTAAACGATAGAGCTATGGGAATTACCAACAGTAGCTTCTCTAAGAGTGCACGTGAATAATGGAAAACCTTTAATTTTTTTTTTTCATTTGTTAAGCGTGTTAAAAGGGTGTAGAGCAAAGAAATTTTGTTCTTAACAAAGAAATCTGTTAAAACGTATCCAGCTCTTGAATATCCTCCCATTATGTACCATGCCTTGAGGACTCATCAAATCTTGATGGAAAATGTTTCATATTTGTTTGAGGAGATCTTGGGCATGCCACTTTGGTCCTATTTGAGTTGAACAATTGTTGTGAATGCCCACAAGTTGGGTTTTCTAGTTCATGGCCTCATGAGTTTTGAGATTAATTCAGTGATTTCTTATTTTTGTTTCTATGGTTGTAGACTTTTTGATATATGGTATTACATCAAATTCACATGGATCTGTGAAGGTCCAATTGCTAGCCTATAGTAAGAGTCACTTGGAAGCTCAAGAAAAGTATGCCTTTTTTTCCCTTCCTCTTGGCAGCTTCTTTTCCTACATCATAATTCATAAAAGAATGCTGAATTTTTGACACCTTGAGTTGTTTAAAGTCTCAGCTACAGGAGAAGATGATGGCGCTTACACCTTATTAATCTAACTAGTTACTAACCACCTGGTACTTGTACTGGGTATGGTGCAACTATTCCTAGTTTCCTACTTATTTTGTTGGGACCCACTATGCCCAATGCACAAGAAGCTCCTGCCAATACGGGGTCTGCCCTGGAGATGCACAGAGAGGATGTTTCCAAGATTTGAACCCTGGTCACAATGGAGCAACCCAACCATTGGGCCAAGGCTGTTGGGATCCACTATCCACTTGGTAAATTTGGGTTAGTTTTTTATTTAATTTAGGAGACTAAATAAAAAACCCACTTTATGTAAAAAAATGGGACCAACTCTAATATGAAAAAGAAAAAGAACAAGAGTAATTACATATTATCATATGTTTTCTGAACAGGAGGCTAGCCTTTGTGTTTGAAGGAGAAGCCCTCTTGTCTGAGGTCTTTTTCTATATATATGTATTAGTTATGTGGAAGCATAATTACATATTAATCATATTTATTTCTTATATAAACCTCATTTTTCTTTAACATTTCCTTTTAGCACTTTGACTCAGTAAGGGATCAATATGAGGAGATTCTTTTGACCATTGGATATTTGAATTTCTGCTAAATATGAGCAATGATAGGAGTGCACTTGGTTTGGGTTGGGTTGAAGATTTATTCAGTTTAGGATAGGCCCGACCTCATATATGTGAAACCCAATCAATTTTGGAGTCCTCACTATATATGTTGGTTACATGGTGGGAACTCCATCATATTCCAGCCATGTATTGGTGAAACCATTATGACAGTAGACCATATCAAACAATCTCCATTTGAAATACTACCTGTTTTCAAACTTCCAAGTCATCAATAAAGGTTTGTGAACCTAAAGATAACATTTCACTGTTGGAATTGGAACTGAATATTTTTGCTGAGAAAAAAAATTGAGTACATGATAACAAGGAGTAGTTTGCTCTTTGGCATGAATTTTCTCAACCCAGAAAGTAGTAAAACAAAAAAAAAAAAGCAATACTCATTAGAATCTTTGGAAGTGGCAAAATCAAGAGAGTGGTTCCATAGAAGGATTGGGGCCTCATCAGCATTACCATGCAAGAAGATGGTGCTTCCTAGTTCCTACTTACTGTGGATCCCTCTGGCCTTTGGCTATATTTGGTTTTGTAGAAGAGAAGAGAGAAAAAGAAAGTTGAGGGTTCCTAAACTTCTTTTGTATCAAACTAAGTACAACCTTCATGTACCCAAAAGGGAATTATGTTACCCAAGAAGATGTCCTTTCCAGAAGGTACACCATGCTTTAAGTACCAACCTCAACCTCACCAAACAACTGATATATCCTCTTAACTTGAATTTATATTCCAGTGTAATAATCCAATGCACAAATAGCTTACAAATGCAGCAAAATAACCACAAAAAAAAAAAAAACCAAAGGAAAATAAGTGAACCTTCTAAGTATAGCCATAGCCATGGTTCGAAGTATTGATACATTCGATACCGCAAAATCATGTATCACCTGATTTTAAAGGGGTGGTACATATGTGCCGATTCTTAGAGTTCCAAGTATCAATCTATTCCAAAATATAATATTTAGGAATGGTATTAAGCTTTGAAAATGGCCATATTCCCCAACTCCTAGTATTTCACGTAATGGCCATATTCTAACTTTCTAAGTATCGCATAATACAGTATGATATGGATCGATGGTTTGAACCATTATTTGGGCCTTTGTCTCAGTTTGAAAAGAGTATAAATATAAACATGTATAATATAAATGCATACAAAATAATACAAAAATACACGATTTTGCACTCTACATATTTATATTTGCACTCCTTCCAAACTGTTAAATTCTCATTAATATAGATCGGATCACATTTATCTTATTCTTCTAATAGTCAAAGGATGAAAGATCTGGTGGATTACATTGTTATGCCTAAAGAAGGTTAAGCCATACAAGACTAGAATCCGTTTGAATAATATGTTAGACGGTCAAGACAAAACTGACAAATACAAGAACAATGTTGATTCGGGGATTTTGTGTTCTTTAAGAGTGATGAACTGATAATTCAGTAAGAATAGTGTGTGAGAGTTGTGTGGTTGTTGATTATGCTCAAGGTTTAAAGTATAGATGCGTATCGAATTGTATTGTGTGTATCATATTGGTATCGAAGCCCTACTGAAATGCAAAATATTGAGAGGTAAAAGGGTTCAACTGTTAATATCCATCCAACAAACCCATTTTTAAATAACAAATTTAAAAGATTAATTAAAAAGAGAAAAAGAGTATCAACCAATTGATACACATAATACACGCTTCTTTTGTATCATGCGGGTCAATAATTTGAAACTTGATTATGCTCAAATGCAATTGTGGAATGACCACTACAATGATAGAAACAATATAAAGCAGAAACACATGTAAGATGCAATTTAGGTGCCTAATTTGAAGAATTTACATTGCATCAACCCTGAGCTTTTGGGTCGGGCCAATTATAGTTTTAGCAAATTGGGAACCTGAGCTCACCCAAATTGCATCCCAAAAACGACACAATGTTAACACACCATCTCTAAAGTTTGGTAAAAAAAAGTCCATTAAACAGCTTCCAGATTTCCAAGCCTGGAAATAAGAGAGTGGATTGATTGAATTTGATAGCTGTTTTATTGATTGTGAGCAATCGTTTTGCTCCAAACCAGTCATAGATGCAAGTGAGAGATTGAGTAATTATGGCTATATGCACTTTATGGGTGCAAGTTTCCAAGCATCAAGACACCTGATATTTCAGGTTAAGTGCCCATATTTTTTAAGTTTTTTTTTTCAAAATTTTACAGGGGTCAGTCTTAGCTGAGTTTGGATCTTGCTCTTCACAAAGCGTTCTTTACACTGACATCACAGTATATTCTGACCGCATATTTAGAACATCTCTTCTATTTGTATTTATTATTCATGTGAAGATGTTTCCAATACACAATGGAAAATAGTTGTGAGGTCAGTGTGAAGAACAGATCCTAATTTCTCTTAGCAACGCCTATCCTCTTAAAACAACAAAAGCTGAAAATACAAAGTATTTAGTGTATGTGGGTATAGACGAAATGATACAATATGGCTCATGTGGAGCAAAATCCCATAAAACAGCTATCAAATTCATCTAATTCTTTCTCTAAAAATAACGCATGAAAGCATCTTACATTCTATGCATGACACTGACGGAACTCTGAAGTCTGATGTTGGCTCTGCAGATTTGATATTGCCCCAAAAGGTCTCAGACATTTTCCGTGTAGATGGGGAGTTGTTGCTTGTTTGAATAAATAAGGTTAGTTTGGCTGCTTCTGCCTTTATACTAGATTATATATTTGTATGAGTGATCCAAAACAGATAAAAGTAGACTTCTATGGACTGAATGATCCAAAACAAAGAAAGGGGACTCTCTCTCTCTCTAGATTGTATTGTATATTTGTATGAATGATCCAAAACAGATAAAAGTAAACCTCTCTATATATATTGTATATTTATATGAATGAACCAAAACAAGGCAAAGGGACTCTCTCTCTCTCTAGTAAAATGTGATTATTAGTGGCCAACATGTGCTTCACTTGGTGACCTTTTGAATGCATGTAACCATTTACATGGCTTCATACATTAGACAATTTGGTAATTTGAATTGCACAGTATTCTAAGTGCATGGTCTAAATAATTTGAATCGCACACTATTCAATTGCTCATGACCAGGTGACCAGATTCACATAATCATGCTGTTGTTAATTAACGATGATCACAACTTAGAGTCCTGATCCCTTTGTCATTATATATATATATATATATATATATATATATATATATATATATATATATATATTTCTTGTACCAATAAAAGATTCAAATCATGTTTATATTCATGGTTGATTTTCTTTTATTTTTTTAAGTCGCCTATACCTATTAAAGATCCGACTAGATTTAAGAATAGTCCCTATATTTGATCCTTTTTAGGGTTATCTGTACCTACTAGAGTCTAATTGGCTTTGGATTTGCTGCTAACAGGTGTGTGACATTCACTTGTAGATGAATAAAATTCAAAATATTGATACAATATAATCAATACATATGGTGTAAGTGGAATACTAAAGTATCGATGAATATTGATCGACATAGATTGATACTCGATCCATTCCTTATCAATCAGAAAATTAAAGAAAAAAGAAGAAAACCAGATCATTAAAATTATTATTTTTCAAAGTCATGATTTTAGCCTTGAGCTTAGCGTCATTGATATATTTGTGAAATTTATACAAATTGTATGATGTATTAATGCTTGTCCTAGTCATTCCATCATATCCAAGAATTTTATGAATATATATCTCGTTATATTTCTTAAAATTATCTTTCTTATATTCTTTGTCACTTGCAACTTTGAACAAACCGTCAAGGGTGCAGCATACTGTTCAAGATTAATGATGCCTATTGAACACTTTTGTTAGTCGCTAGCCAATATTAGCAGCAAATGTTGATGTCAGATATGGGTTTTACATGTAACTCGTGTTTCATGCAATTGCTGTTTCTACCTTAAATGTTTTGAGATGATCAACACAATTTGTTGTTTTTACAGATTTACCTACGCGCTGATTTGACGTTTCAATTATAAATTTTAATGATCATATTTTTTCTAGTGGTGCAAGTTGGGTGGATTGGGCCGGGTTTATGGTCAACCCAGGCCTGACCATAAAACTTAGGCTTAAGTTTCGAGCCTGATTTTCCCAACCCAAATCTACCTTGCACTGTAATTTGAAGCATTTGGTTTGGTCAATAAATTCATTCTAATATTATACATATATAAATGTATTTATGTAAATATATATACATATATTTATGTATGTTTGTAAATATATATGAATGTACTGCACGGGGTTCAGTTCAGGTTTGGGCTACCTAAGGGCTAAGCCTGAGCCTGGCCCAAAAAAATAAAAAAGCCCAGCCCAAGGGCCAAAAATCCAAACTCAGCCCATGTAAAATTCTGGACTGGACCAGTTTGAGCTCGGGCTGGGCCTGCCCAAGTTGCACCCCTAAGTTTTCTAACTAAGTCCTTTTCATATGTGTAATGCGACACCAATTTATATTGATCAATCATTTCAATAAAAACAATAAGTATACCAAACACAACCTTGACGTCACTCTGATCATGTATAAACTTGCCTCAATCTTTTATATTTGAGAAACCCTAGATTTTGATTGTGTGATATCAGAAAACCATCCTGTAAGGCTGTAACTATGCTTGGTTCACTGTCTCAAATAGTGTTGGTACCAAAGACAACTTAGGTCTTTATCAGCTGCTCAAGTCCAAAATCTACACTAGCTAAACCTTATCTTCTTGCAGCCCATTGCGCACATAGCATCCAGTTGCACATTAGGCTGTATATGTATGTTAAATTCATGGAGAGATGTTCTAAGGCTTAGTTTGGAAGGAGTATAAATATAAAAATATACAGTGTATATACATTCAAAATAATACAAAATACAAGATTTTGCACTCTACATTTTTATACTCTTTTCAAACTAAGCCTAAGACTCAATTAATTTAGAAAGGATATACATACAAATACAAATACAAATTTTAAAATACAAAATACTAGTTTTTACACTGTATATATTTGTATTTATATTTTTTTTCAAACTTAACTTAAATACATACAAAATACAAGATTTTACATTCAACATATTTGTATTTATACTCTTCCTAAACTGAACTTAACTCAATTTGAAAAGAGTACAAATACTAATATATAGAGTGTGAAACGTTAGGCTTCATTTGGAAGGAATACAAATACAAATATGCAAAATACAAAATCTTGTATTTTGTATTATTTTGTATGTTACACTGTACAAATATTTTTGGTGTACATATTTGTATTCTATATGTATTTGCGGTGTATATATTTGTATTTTATACTCCTTCCAAATTGAGCTTAATGGGTGACTTGCACGAGATCAATTTCATTACATTAGTTAAATCTAACGATCAAAATTTGCTACAAACTTACGAATGGGCTCACCATAACCTCCAGCTTAAGTAAATCAAATGGTCTATGACTATCTATCAAGTTCATTACATTAATTAATCCAACGATCAAAATTTGCTACAAAATCAATGGACATTTTGATCGCGTGAGGCTGGCACCAATACAAGGCCCGAAATGTCAAAATTCACGAGGGTCAACGAAAACGACTGGTGTGGACGGCCGAGATCTAATCCAATCCAGCGTGCCGCCATTTTCCTCATCGATATCCTGCTTCGCGGACGTTAGTTTCTTTATACACCACAAGTCCTCCGCCCATGAAAACCTTCTCCAATGTGGGATTACTTCTCTAACTGGGTCCCGCCGTCCCACCTCAGCAACCACGGCCCCACATCCGGAGTCATCCCTTCCCATGTTATGTGCGAAGGCGCATAGACCCTTCATGAGCCGCGATGCACCCTTTCCCTCCATGTGCAGCCCGTACAGGAAATACACTCCGAACTGCCGAAACACGTCCGGGATGGACGGTATTCGTAGCCAAGGCATCCAGGAGTCCAGCAACCGACTCGTTACGCAGCAGGCATACGTTAGCCTGGACACCCCCTTCATTTGAAGCTTAAACACTTCTTTCGTGTTCCACACGCTCATGATAGCATAACACGGCGGGAGATGGCCAGTCTTCGGATCCCACTTGGCAAGAGCCTTCTTGGGTAGGGCCATGAAGGTGCCTAGGTTGAGTTTGTTGGACAAAATTACGTCTATGTCCTTGGGAAAGAACTCAGAGTTGGCGAAGACTCGGCGGTAGATTAACTCGGCGAGATGTGGCGAGAGCTGTACCACTGCTACCCCGGATCCCAAAGGCCTGTAATGCGCGTGCACCGGTTGGACCAAGACGGTAGGGGTGCGGAACATCATGTAAGCGCATTTTAGAGTGAAGAGGTTGATGGAAGCCTCGTTGGTGCAGTCCGTGGCCATGTATGCGTACTCCGCACCCTTCTGCTTACACCACTCCTCCAGCTTCTCCACTAGCTTGGTCCCGATGCCTAACCGCCTGAGAGAGCAAACTTGCGCAAGTTAGTAAATGGTCGTTCAGTGAACTAACGTGCGCATTTTGTCTGCGTCGTCAGCTCTGTTTATGACGTAGGTAGGAATTGTTTTCTTCATGATAAGGATCTCTAACTAGATAAAAACAAAGGCCAGAAAAGTGGGACTTCTTTGAAGGGTCAAAGCAATAATGTCTGAACAGAAGAAAGAATGCCGGAAGAGATCTCAGTAACTCAGTTTGGTTTCTCTTCTCAGGTGGATTGGCTAAGATTCATCATCCAAACTAGCACAGAGAATCGATCGAATAGCAGGAAAACAGAAGAAATTAGAACCTGTGAGTGGGCAATACTCGAAGCCCAAGAATATAAGCAACCTTCACGTAGATACTACAGTCGCTCATGGCTTTCTTCCCTCTCGTCACAGTCTTTATACAACCTCTTATAACCCCAACAATCTCTCTTGCTTTCCCAAACTCTGCAACCTGTTCAGAAGAAAGCTGAATAAGAATGAGGGCGCCATTGATGAGAAAGAAGCTTGTAATCACAGCAGCTGCGACAGTGGAAATCTACTTACCAGCATGAGATAAGCCGGAGAGTGGCGGATGCGGCAGATAGGGTCGCCCATGTCGTCGGTGAAGAGCGAGGGCTTGCCTCCTGGCCCCAGCTCGCACCGCCTCTCCATCTCTTCTACCGCCACCCTGTCTCTCTTCTCCTCATACTCCCTCACTGCAACCAGTACTCTCTCCTCCTCCATCTTTAGCGATGCTTCCGCTATCTATAGAGTCAATTTACGCGTGGCAGAAGACAGGAAGGAAATTAAGCTAGAAATCCAATTGGGTCGTCTAGAAAATGGAGATAGATCTGATTTATTCAACTGAAACCTCTTAAAACAATCAAGAAGTTCTCGACTTCTCGCTGCTCTCTAGCTTCTAAAATCCTGTCCAATCTCTCTTTATATATCGAGAAACTGGAGTGGTGCTGACGTGGAGCCTCCGGTTTGTCAACAGTGTTTTCCAAAGCCATGTAAGCTGATCCATGGTTTTGATCACGATGGAATGTGATGGTGGTCATGATTTTGCCAGCTAAAATTACAGTAGATCCAGTAGTATGATATCAAGCATGCAACAGTAGAATGCTTGATTGGGTGGTTGCAGATTCTAATAATTGTAATGTACGAAGGCTGATCAGTTGGTCCAAAATCAGTATTGTAGGGGGACCCACCTGCTGGTGGACCTTATCAAACACGTGCTTAGATCTTGGGTTTTATCTGGGGATGGATCTACAACCCCTGGTCCACCATGTTTTGTCTGAAGGCAGTGATGGGCATGTGTTCGTCCTGTATCGTGACCATTCCCATGTCACGATGTGACCATGCAAAGCCAAGCTGTACAGACATGTCCTCCTTTGAAATGAACGGATGGGGTGACGACACGTGGCGGGCAGGGGGAGGAGAGATGAAACTTTTCTCACCGAAAAATGCTGTCTCACCTGTTTATGCTGTCAGATTTTGTCCATCGATATCTTTGAACATCAAAGGGTTTAAAGTAGATAACTCTAGGTTCCTGAAATGCATCTATTTTGGGAAATTCTTATCCTTAGAAAGACAAAAATGCCCCCGTACCACAACTTGTGTCTCCACAAATAGAAGTTTTCATGGATAAGATGGTCTAAAAACCAAGTGAAAAAACATCCAACTTGTAATGCTGGATGGGTCCCGTTCAAGAGATCTAAGGGCAGTAGCAATCGTTGGATTTTAAGTTTTGTGCGGTTGTGATCATCAGCACTGGAGAAAAGAAAAGATGGCAGTCCTTAGGAGTTAGGAATCCTTCCCAAGACAGGTGAAGTAATCACATAGACTATGAGTTGTGGCAAATATGATTCGATTAGGGTTTCTTTTCATTTACTTTTAGGGATTATCTTCCAATTTTCTTTCATTGTCTCTTCTTTAACAGACGTTAAACAACCAACTTGTGCACATTCATGTTCACCTCGGAACTTTCACAAGAAAAAAAAAAGCTTTTTATTAATATAAAAACACTAATTGTTTTTTAACAATTTAATTAATCCTTACTATATAATATAGATGTTTATGTTTTCATTCATCTCAATGTTTTTAGTTCATCTATTTCTTCTTTCTCCATTTCATTCATCTATTTCTCTTATATTTATACATATATGCATCACAAAATTATAAGAAATGATTTAAGTACAGTAAACAAAATAACTTTTAACCCGTCATTGACTTCGCTGGTCATCAGATTACTGAATTGGTAAGAACGCAGGTTTAATTCAACCTCTAACCTTTTATATTATAACTGTATTATAAAAGACCAATGACTTAGTTATCCGGGTCAATGATATGCTGGCTCATATGGTTGAACCATTACCAATTAACTCAATTGGTAAGGTTTTGGTTGGTCGTTGTAATGGAGATTGGAGACTTTTGGGATCAAATCCTACTATTATCGGTAAGGGGATGGGCTACCCTCTATCCCCCCCCCCCCCAAAGAAAAGAACCACTGCTTGGGGTTGGTTTTTTGTATTATATTTTTAAATTTTGAACATTTTTATAAATCATATTGTATCATAACTAACAGGTTCTGTTGATCCAGAGGGAAAAGCAGTTCAAGACTTTGGGCCCGGTTTCTCCAAAATGCAAAAGAGAAGAGAAATGCTGGGCAAGTCACTAGTCTGGTGGTCCACATCCTGGGGGCTTAGGCCAGGATCAACCTGGGACAATTGTAAAGCGATTCATACAAGGCCCCCATCAGCCCTTCTTGTGGGAGAGATGCTTCTTGGCCATTGAAACATTGGTTGCTCTTGGCCAAGGCCAATCAGGGGGCCTGGTTTTAAAACATTGGTTGTTGTTGGCCTCCAAAATGAAAATGAGAAGAGAAATGCTGGGCTAGTCAGAAGTCAGTAGTCACCTAGTCTGGTGGTCCATCTTTGGGGGCTTAGACCAGGTTCAACCTGGGACCATTGTAAAGCGATACATACAGGGCCCCCATCAGCCCTTTTTGTGGGAGTGGTGCTTCTTGTCCATTGAAACATGGGTTGTTCTTGGCCAAGGTCAACCTAGGGGCCTGGTTTTAATTAAAACATTGGTTGTTCTTGGTCTCCAAAATGCAAATGAGAAGAGAAATGCTCGGTTAGTCGCCTGGTCTGGTGGTCCATCCTGGAGGCTTGGGCCAAGGCCAATCTGGGACCATTCTAAAGAGACTCATACTCATACAAGGTCCCCATCATACCTTTTTTGTGGGAGAGATGCCTTTTGGCCATTGAAGATATCATTGACCACTGTCACCCTTGGGAGTTAGAATCTAAAGAGGTTGGTTTGAGGATTGGAACTGAAAGGCTGATTCTAAAAATTGAGCTCCCACAAGCATTTCAACTGTAAGAAGATGCTTTGTGGTCCTAAATATTCTTTAACTTCCACAAAGCATTTTAGGGAAAAGTAGGACTGCAACTTTGGACCAGCTTGGGTTGAGCATTTGTTAAATTTTAAACTCGGGACCAGGTCCGATTTGAGGGAAATGTTCAGATCGACCGGGTACCCGAGTTGTATCCATATTGAATAGCAGATCAGATCATCCTATTGAATAAGAAGCTTGGGAATGACCCCTTTCGGGTTCAATAAATTAAGGAACATTTGGAAGTTCTGAAGTTGAACCATGATTCAAAGTATTGATACACTCGATTAGCTTTATTAGTGGCCCTGAAAACCAATACATATCATATGATACAGTGCGGTAGGTATTGATACTTTAACCATGGGTTGAATCATAAAAATCAAGAACTCCCCCTACTCCAACCTGATGTCCTGTTTGATTTTCAAAACTTTTCTTAGACTTAGAAGAACTAATATTGCTCCTGGTCTACTACCCAGCCCATTAATAGCTCTAGCTAACCTAGTCATGGTTGAACCAGTTTGAACTGATGCAATGCTGACCCAGTCAATCTCTTGTTCCACTTCACAAACATTAATCAAAAGAATACACCAATTCAAAAGGTTTGTGAAATAAAAGGTGCCAGTATCAGAATAATTGACTCATTTGAAAGCAGCAAGACCAAAAGAAAAATGCCAAACAAGAAAAAAAAAATTCAAAAAGCTTCAACCAGTTATCACAAGGACAGCAGATGTAACGTAACCAACATTTTTTGTCTACAACATAGTTTCCTCCAACTTGTCTTAGTTGACTACATTAATAAAGAACTTATACACCTTTTAAGAAATAAATTAAGCTTTAAAAACCAAAAGAATATTGGAGATTGATAGATTTATTTCTAGAAAGCTGCTTTTAACATAATTATTAGCATCTAAATCCTATTAATTTCATCAAAAGCAATTCATATTAAGTCTTAAGGTACATAGTTTTCAATGCTTGTTAAATAGAGAAATCAAAAGTTTCCAATTGAATTTTAAAAATACAACCAAAGGAGTAAGCCTTATCAAAAGCACATAACCCTAAGATAGGTAGGCCTGGTTAGTAAAAAGTGGGTCTATGCCAAAGTTTCCATTTGAAATTTAGTAATGCATTTATAACTAAGTAGCCCCATGTAGCCACTGAAGCAAGTGGGCACCCAGAAAAGCAAGCCTAGTAACCTTCAAAGATGATTCAGACAAGGAGATCATTGCCAAAACCCTATCAAAATATTTACAGTGACACTGATGAAATTCAATGATCATGGTCCCATCAAGTTCTCAAATTAAAGTTTGGTTTGATTTGATTTGATTTGCCCATTACTAACTACCAAACTAAGGTGTGTTCATTGTAAAGGAACTCCTAAAACATGTACATATGAAAAATAATCAAGGCAAATTAACCATCTTTTATATCCTAAAGAAATTGCATATAGAAAGAACTCCAAGGTGGATCTCATCAATATAAAAAATATAAGTCTACTGAATAAAAGTATATATAAGTACATATAAGAAATGTAAAAACTAATTTGAATCAAGAATTATGTAATAACATTTTTTCTTGGTAATTACAATATAAATGAACAAAATTTTGTTGTTTTCTTTGAATAAAAAATTATTTAAGAGTATTTTATTCTTTAGGTGTTATCTGAGTTGAACTTATGTTGTTGTTTTCAAGTTAGAAATGAACAAACTGGCATCTATTTATGGAAATGGTGAATAGTATTTGCATGCATATCTCAAATTATTGTAATTATTGGTTACAAAAAAAAATATTGTTATTATTATGCAAAATCCAAGGATTAACAGATAAGATATAAATGGAATTATTGAAAATTCCATATTTAGCTGTCCATAAAAATTAATTTGGTAGTTAATAATTAAAAATACATTTACTGTCCCCCCCCCCAAAAAAAAAAAAAAAATCTCTTTCACACACTCACAAGCTTCTACTGTACCAGAATGTCAAAAGAAGTTAGAAAAGAGATATTGCTCAAGGCAATAAAAGATGAAAACATACAACTTAAAAACATGTACCAATTAATGTGAGAAAAGGATTCATTAATGGTTAATTCACTTAACTAACATTTCTAAACATGTGCATACTTGAATCTCATTACATTATTGAAACCATCAAAACACAATTAATAAATGTGTAAGAAAAAAAAAAAGAAAATTGTTCACATGTCTGAGAATCTACAACGCTTACATTTGCTTTGTGCAATGGTAAAATCTCAGGTTAAAACATGGGTTCAAGTCTAGAGAAGCCACTTTGAGGAAAAAAAAAGGAAAAAAAAAACGCTAGTTTGATATCAAGTCTACTCCTCCCAAGACCCCAAATAGTTGGAGATCAATATGGGTAATGGTATTTTATGTATGAAGAGAGCTTAACTTGTCATATAACACAAGCATCTATATCATCTGTTCTTATAGCAGTTGGTGACATTTTATATCACGTAATATTATATGCCATTTAGAATATTATTAT